ATCTGTTTGGGACAAACAGGTGACTCTGGAGGGTTCCTCCAAACAGCGGCACACCTGTTGGTCATCATGTTATTAGTAGGTTCTTTGTGAAAAGGACTCCCGGCCCGACCAGTCGTGGTCGGGTCATTATTTCTGTCACTGCTTCTGTCACTGCTCCTGTTGGTTCATGTTTGTGCCTTAATGCCATGGATTGTTGTTTGGATTGCTTTCACTTTGTTTTTGCATCTGCCATGGGTTTTTGTTTGTTACTTTGGATTCTTCTTGTTTTCAGGACTTTGTTTGTTCTGGATTTAATTTTCTCAGTGTTTTGTGAATACAATTTGTCAAGTTCACCCGACTCTTCCCTCCTGTCTGCTTTTTGGGGTCCCCCACCACCATGCTCATGAGAGAATGACCCGACCATCAAATGGACCCCACAGGAATAAAGCACTCGTCCCAATTCCACCCTGTGCCTGGCAGAGCACGTCTGTGGCCAACACCCATTCCCCTTCAGGCGGCACATGTCATGCGGCCATCCCATGTTCCCCGTCATGTCGAGCCCCGTCCAGGTTGAGCCAAGCTACGTCCACGTGCCCATTTGAGCCAAGTCACGTCCACGTCAACCCAGCCCAGCCATTGGTTGACTGTTTGGGACTTCTGGGATCAGTCCCTTGAGGGATGGGTGGTGTCGTGGTTGATGTGTTTGACACCAACAGGTGGCCCTGTAGCGGCACATGTGCACGCGGACACACACCCACACACCCACACACACACACACACACACACACACACACACACCCACACACCCACATGCCATGATGAGCAACAGCAATAACAGCCCCTAATTTGAATGAAACAGAAAAATAGAGAAGATAAAACAGTTTGTGAGTTTGTAAGAAAGAAATCACTACCTGCCTTAATAGAGACCTGACGCAAAGGCATGGAACGTATATTTGCAGTGTCTTAAGTTCAGGTACATCACTATTGTAGCTCACGTGTACCATTTTAAAATGCTTCTCCTTGTGCCACTAACAGTGTCATTGGTGAATTGCAGATGAAACAAACTTTGAATGAGAGTTAAATAAATAACTATCACAACAGTAAATCCTTGCACACAAACTCTCAAATGATCACTATGACATTCAGATAAAACACCCGCATTTACGATTCTAGTAGGATGTGACACAAGAATTCAGTCGAGTAAAGTCGGGGATGAAGGAGTAATTCTATGAGGATCCTTAATTAAGTGGGTTCGATTCAAATTTGAGAAAGACATTTTATCCCCACAACAAGCTCAATAGAACCAATCCTAATTAAAATCACATAATACTCATTCATTCATTTTCCAAACCGCTTGATCCTCACTAGGGTCGCGGGGGTGCTGGAGCCTATACCAGCTGTCTTCCAGCCAATCGCAGGTCACATAATATAATAAGTTAATTCTTACAATCTATTGAGATAATTGTTGCAAGCAAACAATTAGATGATACAACAGTTGCTGTAGGCGAGTGACATGCAGTGATGGTTTGGGAGGCACCAGCCTTGAATTTGAGCTCCATCTAGTGGGTACTGCTCCAGGGAAACACAGCTTCACAACTTCATCCATTAAGTGAGTGTGTTTTGTTGACTTGCTGAAAAATGACCCGAGTCCTTTCACTGTTTTAAAAAACGTTCGACACTCAGGCATGCATGTTGCAGACTGTGAGAGCACAAGGCTTAATTTCTGCGCATAACAGTTGGTAAACAGGGCCTCTGGGACCTTTTCTTTTTTTGAGCCAGCACCCCATTAAGCTCTGATGCCATCACAGCATCACTTGCCTCCCCTGACTGCACGTCACTGCTGTAGGCGGTCTACACACATTACCTATTGTGATACATTTGTTTTCACGAAGAATAATTTGAACAAACATACATTCAAAATAATCATCATATGTCTGGGCTATCAGTTGTACTTTTTCCAAAACTCAAAAAAAATTACTCAGCTACAGAAGCAGCACCTCTATCATTACTCACATCATCAAATCCCCAAAATGACTCCTTAATCTGACAGGCTACTTCACTTGAGTCACTTGTACTTGTAGCCATGTAACATAAAATGACAGATATCTGAGCTTTATTTGTCATATCAGTTGTCTCATTTGCTTCTACTGCGACAAATGGGGCTGCATTAATCTCTTTTTTTAATGTCATTTGTGATCACATCACCGACTGCTTCAATTAAATCATCCTGTATTCTGTTTGATAAAACAGAAAACAGTGGCTGTCACCAAGTATCTCGTTAACCTTTCATCTTTCTTTGCAAACACAATGCAATAATTCCACTCTCATGATGACAGGGGAGGTACGGCCTCATTTGCCTCTCCTGACAGCACGTCACTGCTGTCGGCGGTCTACACACATTACCTATCGTGAAACATTTGTTTTCACAAAGAATAATTTGAACAAAAATACATTCAAAATAATTTGGTTCAACTTACTCGGAGACAAGGCTGAATGTGTGACCACACCAAAACCTCTGCGACATCTATCAGCTCTGTACAACACATAATTAGGGAGTTTCATTGTCTGGTATTTTGCTACTTAACCAAGTTTCTCAAATGGTAATGATTGGTGGTTTATGAATGCCAAGTTCAAAACGAACCAAATAATGTTTTGGATCCCAGAAACGTAGACACCAAACAAGACTCCGTAACAAAAATATTTATTGACAAAAACAAAAGCGCACCGACAAAGTATGAAAGGAAATTGCTGGTCAATAAGAACCAGGAAAAAAACAATACAATAACACAAAGTTCTACAGTCCATTTATCACACCCCCTGCTCGCGTCTGTGACAGCCCCAAGGAAATATGGTGTCTGTGAAACAGTCTCTGTGTCAGTTACTTTTCTCTGTGTCAGTTACTTTTCTGATGGACCTTCTTGCACTTGTTGCTTGTAGATTTCATAGGTGGACATTTACTTTGGTCTTTGTGATTTATTTTTGTACATCTTCCACATTTTGGATCTGTGTGCTCCCTACTGACTCGCTTTTTAATTTTCCACTGCTGCTTTCCTCCGAAAGCAATTTTAGGGTGTGAGACCTCTGCACCGCTGCGCGCGCTTCCCCCTGCTAGTGCACTTGTCTCGTCACCTCCTCGGACTGTCGCACGGACTAAACAGTTTGGGCTAGTGTGAGCTGTGACTGTAGCTGTCGTTAACCAGACATCTCTTCGTCTGTGATTCCCACTATAATGCGATCTCTGATGTGTTCCTCTCTGTGCATCCCAAAGTCACAATGTTCCCACAGTTCATACAGAGCTCTGATAAACATTTAGATTTTCTCACCGCTGTACTCTCTGGTAGAAATGCGCTCGCTCGTGGATAACATTCCTTTTTGGGCTGAAATAATCGTCGTATTTTCCCAACACAATGTCGAATTTCACCTTGTCCGTTTTGTCCACAAAAGTGAATGCAAAAACGATGAAACTGCTGCTTCCGATCAGCCCAATCCATCGGGCGGTTGAACGGAAAGTTTCCTGGGGATTAAAATTTGCCATGATCCAAAGCTGCATGTCCATCATCAACTTCTGACACCATGAAATTTAATGTCCGCACAAGAATTTGCGCTTATCAGTAAAACCTTTACTTGTCGCTTGGGGACAGTAATAATAATAATAATAATAATAATAATAATGGTCATACATTTTAATTGTAAGCGCCTTTAAAAACACACAAGGACACTTTACAATCAAGAAAAAAAAACAATAAAACCACAGCTAAAATTATAAATAGCAAAAGAAGAGATGAATTTAAATTGAGTATGCGATTTTGAATAGGTGGGTTTTGAGACGGGATTTGAATGTGGGAAGAGAATCTCTATTACGGATGTTGGGTGGAAGTGAGTGCCAGAGTTTGGGGGCCGAGCGGCTGTTTGGGGGGCTGGTTATGGATGGCTTTAAATGTGTCGAGAAGGATTTTGAAGTTGATTCTAAGTTTGACAGGGAGCCAGTGGAGCTATCGGAAGATGGTGGTGATGTGTTGAAAGGAAGGGTTCTCGTGCTGATCCGTGCTGAAGAATTCTGGACCAGTTGGAGTTTATGGAGGAATTTGTGATGGGCACAGAAAAGGAGTGAATTGTAATAATCAATATGGGAGGTGGCGAGACTGTGGACAAAGATAGCAGTGGTGTGAGGGGTGAGAGAGGGACAGAGATGATTGATATTACATAGGTGGAAATATGCGGACCAGGTTATGTTATTGATGTAAGAGTGGAAAGATAATAAGCTATCAAGGATGACACCCAGACTCTTAACCTGAAGGGAGGGGGACACAGTGGAGCTATCAATTGTGAGGGAGAAACTGCCGGCTTTGTGTAGGGTGGATGATAGATTGATTATTTTTAGTTATCATACATTCACTTATTATTAATGTTATGATTGTTATTTTGATATTGATTGATTATGCTCGCAAAGAAGAAAGCTTATGCCTGCAATGATAAATTGATTATGCTTGCAAAGATGAACGCTTATGCCTGCAATCATTAATTGACTATGCCTGCAATGAAGAACGCTTATGCTTCTAATAAAAATATATTAATCATTATGTACTCACATTTATAATCCTTTGTATGATATTTATATACTCACATTTATAATCAAGAATGCTTAGTGCACTGTGTGGAAGTTTAGGGACGCAACCACCTTTCCGAGGACGTGGTTGGGAAGAGATAAGTGTTAAGACTAAACAGGAGCAAGGTTGGACAGTGAATGGAGCCATCAACAACAGCTGCAACGTCATGTTTTTGTAACAATTGCACACATGTACTTAATTTACACTCACATACACACACATAGTCAAACAAGTTCAGTGTGTGTCCAACAGCCCCCACCCTTTAGGTTGGACACACCTATGTAGTAGATTTCCCAATAAATGAGGGGTGAAGGGGGGGGATCGTTAGGGGTGACGTGCCGAGAACTGAAACCGAACGCTTCTCCTCGTTCCCTCCTGGTACCAGAATTGAGTCTCCTGTCTCCTCCTTGTGTTTTATTCCTGAGTGTCAAATTGGATAAACCTGACAGTGGATTTGGTACTGATGAGGAGTTCTGTTTTATCGCTGTTAAGTTTGAGGAAGTTATGGGAAACCAAGATTTGATTTCTGAGAGGCAGCGTGAGATGTATGTAATGTAGCCACAAGGGGGCACACGCCAGTGTCTTATTGTGCTGGTTCCAAGCCCAGATATATACAGAGGGTTGTGTCATGAAGAGCATCCGATGTAAAATTTTGGCCAAAACAAACATGCAAATCAAACCTTCGAATTTCATACCAGATCGGTCGAGGCCTGGGTTAACAACGACCGCCATCGGTGCTGTTGACCTACAGGGTGCCGGTGTAAATGGACTACTGTTGGTCGAAGAAGGAGAGGAGGAAGGTGTGTCTGAAAGAAGAGAGAGAAGTGGAACTTCAAGAGTATAGTACTGAAAGTAGGGATTTTGAATGTTGGAATTATGACAGAAAAGGGTAGAGAGTTGGTTGACATGATGCAGAGGAGGAAGACAGACATACTGTGTGTCCAGGAGACCAGTTGGAAAGGTAGCAAGGCTCGAAGCTTAGGATCGGGGTTCAAGTTGTTCTATCATGGTGTAGAAAGGAAGAGAAATGGAGTAGGAGTTAATCTTGAAGCAGGAGTTTGTTAGGAATGTCATAGAGGTAAAAGGAGCGTCAGATTGAGTGATGAGTCTGAAGCTAGAAATTGAAGGTGTGATGTTCAATGTTAGTGGGTATGCTCTATAGGTAGGATGTGAGTTGGAGGAGAAGGAGAAATTTTGGTTGGTGAAAGTATAGGTGGCTAATACCAAACAAGAGGCCTACAATGACTTGTATGTTAGCTTGGACAGTAAGGAACGAGAGACTGATCTATACAGGTTGTTGAGATAGAGAGACAGAGGTGGCAAGGACGTGCAGCAGGTTCGGGTGATTAAGGATAGAGATGCAAACATATTGACAGGTACCAGTAGTGTGATGGGAAGATGGAAAGAGTACTTTGAAGAGTTGATGAATGAGGAAAATGGGAAAGAACAAAGAGTAGAAGAAGTTGCGGACCAGGAAGTAGCAAAGATTAGCAAGGATGAAGTGAGGAGGGCACTGAAGAGGATGAAAAGTGGAAAGGCACTCAGGCCTGATGATTGACCTCTGGAGGTATGGAAGTGTCAAGGAGAGGTGGCAGTGAAGTTTCTGACTGGTTTGTTCAAAAAGATCTTAGATGGTGAGAAGATGCCTGATGAAGTGTGTTGGTGCCCATTTTTAAGAACAAGGGAGATGTGCAGAGTTGTAGTAACTACAGAGGAATAAAGTTGATGAGCCATCCAATGAAACGATGGGAATGAGTAGATGAAGCTAGACTAAGAGCAAAAGTGAGCATTTGTGAGCAGCAGTATGGTTTCATGCCAAAAAACAGTACGACAGATGCAGTAGTCATACCTCAGTTTTCAACCATAATCCGTTCCAGAAGGCTGTTCGAAAACCGATTTGTTCGAAAACCGCAACCATGTATCCCATTATAATCAATGGAATACATTTGAATCCGTTCCAAGTCTTGAAAACTATCTTTTTTTAAAGCAATTTTTACTATTTTACTCCATAAACTGGATACACATGTAATAAGAGAGCATATAATATGTAAAGTACGGTACAAACAAACTGTACAAACATTATGTGTGTTTTATTTTGACCAATTTTAACATAAACATTAATATTGTAACATAAAAATTCAAGTAAGATCTCTCTCTCTCTCTCTCTCTCTCTCTCTCTCTCTCTCTCTCTCTCTCTCATCGTGACAATTATAGATTACATTATTTTACACCTTGAAATAATAAACCCTAACGTAATGGGTGTAACTATGGACTCTTTCTCCGCAACCCTACGCTACGGTACGAGGTAACATCCATCCATCCATTTTCTGAACCGCTTTATCCACACAAGTCCAGTCTCGTCCATATTAAAAGTTTGCTGGGGAATATATTCGTCGGCCTTGATGAGATTTTCAAACTCAACTTTAAACTTTTCGGCAGCTTCCTTGTCTGAACTGGCTGCCTCACCATGACAAATCACAGAGTGGATCCCACTTCTTTTCCTAAACTTTTCGAACCATCCTCTGCTTCTGGAATAAAATCAAACTCTTCAGGAGCAATGCTAGAATACTTTTTTATCAAATCTCCATTCAATTGTCTTGCTTTGCCACAAATCGTATCTTGGCTAAGACTACTCCCTGAAAACTACCCTGCTAGCTGTTTCTCATTTACGAAAATAAGCAAAAGTTTCTCCACTTCCTGTAATATTTGTGACCTTTGTTTGCTAAACACACGGAATCCTTTATCCACATCACTGACTTTAAGATGGTCTTTCTTTTTTAGGATCCTGCTGATCGTCAATTTCGGCATGCCGAACTCCTTAGCCAACACATACACACATACACCTGATTCATATTTCGCTAACAAATCTTTTTTAAATTCAACAGTTTTGCGCAATTTTTTTTTCACCAGCTTTACAACTTCCACGTGCTTTATTTGGTGCCATGATTAGGGGCTGATAAACCAGAAATACCAGGCCAATTTGCGTAGATGTCAACAAACACGATGTTTTTTTTTTTAAAAAATCTTTAGAGAACATGTCCGCTCACATTGGACGCTTTTTTTTTTTTTTTAATCTTTATTGAACACGTCTGCTCACACTGGAACGCTACACGAGGATGCATCACTTCCTCGTGTAAGGAAGGCAAGAGGAGTTGAGTGGCGCATTCAAGTGTGCTCAGTTTGGTCAAGAACCGATTTTTGGCCGTAATCCGAGGCATAAAAAAACTCTAAATTTTTGGTCAAAAACCATGTTGATCCTTCATGCGCGGAAGTCTCTCGCTGGTTTTGTGGAGACATCATTTCGGGTGACTACACTTGGTTCGAGGCACAAGACTGGAGATGTTTTCTATTTTTCAGTGTGGTCGCTACCACTGCCTCGCTGAACACTCGACGTGCCTCAGCGCACCGTCACTGTCAGAAGCGAACTCCAGGGAAGCTCCACCCCGTTTTATTTACATGAACCCAGAAAATGGTACCCTTCCACATAACATAGTTCCAAACATGAAACAACAGTGCCAGTGGCATACATCGCACTCAACAAACCGATTTGGTCGAGAATAAAGACGTTCGAAAACCGAGGTTTGACTATATTTACTTCCAGGATGTTGATAGAGAAGTACAGAGAAGGTCTGAGGGAACTGAAATGTGTCTTTGTAGATCTGGAGAAAGCATATGACAGGGTGCCCAGAGAAGAACTGTGGTATGTATGAGGAAGTTTGGGGTGACAGAGAAGTACTGTATGTTAGAGCGGTACAGGACATGTATGATCACTGTCAGACAGTGGTGCGGTGTGCTGTAGGTGTGACGGAGGAATTCAAGGTGGAGGTGGGACTTCACCAGGGGTCAGCTCTGAGCCCCTTCTTATTCGCTATGGTTATGGACAGGCTGACAGATGAGGTGAGACAGGACTCTCCATGGACTATGATGTTTGCAGATGACTGTCATTTGTAGTAAGAGAAGGAAACAGGTGGAGGAGAAACTAGAGAGGTGGAGGTTTGCCCTGGAAAGGAGAGGAATGAAGGTCAGTCGCAGCAAGACGGAGTACATGTGTGTGAATGAGAGGGACCCAAGTACAAGAGTGAGGTTACAGGGAGAAGAGATAAAGAAAGTGAGAGGATTTTAAGTACTTGATGTCAACTGTCCAAAGCAATGGAGCGTGTGGAAAAGAGGTGAAGAAGAGTGCACAGGCAAGCTGGAAAGGCTGGAGAAAAGTGGCAAGTGTGATGTGCGATAGAAGAGTTTCAGCTATGATGAAAGGAAAGGTGCATAAAACTGTGGTGAGACCAGCCATGCTGTTTGGACTGGAGACAGTGCCACTGAAGAAACGACAGGAGGCAGAGCTGGAGGTAGCAGAGATGCAGATGATGAGGGTCTCTTTGGGAGTGACTAGGTTGGATAGGATCAGAAATGAGTACATCAGAGGGACAAATCATCTTAGAGGTTTTGGAGAGAAAGTCGGAGAGGCCAGACTGAGATGGTGATATCATAAGATTTTAATGTGATGTTTTCCCTGCAAAATACTCCGTTTTATAACATGTTGATTTGACAACACGCCGAGGCAGATGTTGTATAATGTGTTGTTTTCAACGAGTTCCCGTTTCTCAGGAGCCATCGGACTTCATTTCTCATAGGTGGGGCCCGATGGCTCCTGTTTTGAATTGCGTGAGAAGGAGTTGTTCAGCATAATAGTTTGTGAAACGCCAGTTGATAAAGAAGCAAGTGTGGCGCCAGAAGGGCTGAGTTGGCCACTCACCCCTTCTTTCGCACACGCTCAGAGAAGGATAAGAGGAGGCTTTGCCGACCCTTTGGTAGAGTCTGCTGCGGGTTGCGTACGGACGCCCCGCTGGTATTGAAGCTCGCTCTACCAAGGGTGTTGGCTCTCCATCCTGTTGGCGCACGGTAAGAGTTGATTCATTCTTAAAGAGCTCAATATATCGCTTGCTGCTTGCTTTGTGACATTTCTTGTTGGTCTAATAAAAGTGCCATTTGTTAGCAACAAAATTGTCTGTTGTGGTTCATTTCTGAGTGCCTATCTCCAACGATCCTATTTAAATTTGATACTGAGCCCAGGCGAGGTATCAGAAATGTTTTAAAACAGATGGTTTGGGCATGTCCACAGGAAAGAGAGTGAACATATTGGGAGAAGGATGCTGGGTCTGGAACTGCCAGGCATGAGGCCGAGGGGAAGGCCAAAGAGGAGGTTTATGTATGAAGTGAAAGAGGACATAAAGGCAGCTGGTGTGAGAGAAGAGGATGCACAAAACATTGTTAGATGGAGGCAACTGATTCGCTGTGGCAACCCCTGAAGGGAAAAGCCGAAAGGAAAAGAAGAAGAAGCTTGAGAGGGAGGAGGGTGGGAGGGAGGCGTCAGATTTGCTGGAAAGGTAGAGCTGGGTGTCATCCGCGAAGCAGTGAAAGCGTATACCAAAATTACAGAAAATATTGCCAAGGGGGAGAAGGTAGATAATGAAGAGGAGGGGTCCAGGACAGAGCCCTGGGGGACACCAGAAGACGGGGAGGGCTTTGAAGTGAAGGAATTGAGGTGGATGAACTGAGAGCAGCCCGTGAGATACTGTGAAACCAGTGTAGGGGTGTGTGGGCGATGCCTCTGGTGCAGAGTCTATTCAGGAGGATGGGGGTAAGAAATGGCGTCAAAAGCTACACTTGGAGGAGGTTAAGGATGGAGATTAAACTGGAGTCTGCTGCCATGAGAAGGTCATTCGTGATTTTTATGAGGGCTGTTTCTGTACTGTGATGGGGATGGAAACCAGACTGGAATTGTTCGTAGAAACTGTTTTATAAATGATGTGGGAGGGAAGTTTAGAGGCAACAATTTTTTTTTCTAGAATTTTGAAGATCAAAGGAAGGTGAGAAAGTATTTATTATGTTTTATTCTTTTTATTCTTTTTTTTTTTTATAATTTATAAGTAAGTTATTGAAATCATTAGGATCTGAACATGTTTTTTTCTGGATTGGACTGACAGCTGCAGTTTTGAAGGGGACAAGAACAATTCCAGTGGACAATGAAGAATGAAAAATGGCTGAGATGAAGGGTTAGCAGGATTTGACCAGGACTATGGGGAGGGGGTCTAACTGAAATTTGGATTTGAGAATGAAGTCTGAGATTATTGAGGATGGGGAGTTCGAAAGAGGATAATAGTTGACAAGGGCTTGGGAGGTTGGAGGAGGGGGAGGGAACAGAGAAGCCCAGG